CCTAAGGGGGATCAATAAAGGAACATCTTATATGAAAGATATGTGGATGCATTAATATATAATATAATATATTAATACATATATATATATATAAGTATAAAGAATGTAAGAAAAAACATACCATTGTGACATATACTAAAATACTAAAAGGTATTCTTCCTTCTAGATATTCTTCATTCTAGGGATCCTAGACCACAAAAGTTATATAAAGTTATTTTTTTATATATATAACTAACTTTAGTCAAAGCATAATCTTTTAATACTTAACTGCTTTGTTTGACTTTTGATTACTTCTCATTAACAATATAAAACCTTTTCTGCATGTTTATTATTTTCTGTCATGTCAGAACATTTGTGATATCTCAGATTAAATCTACCCTAAAATTACTATCTGGTTCCCAGTTTGCAGACTGGGAAAGCCCCCCCCCCAATTAGTAAGTGAAGAAAAATGACTCCTTTCCTCCCTGTACTCTGCAGGACTCCCGTCATCGCTGGTGGGATTTTCGTCATGGACAAGAGCTGGTTCAACCACCTGGGCCAGTATGACACCCACATGGACATCTGGGGAGGGGAGAACTTTGGTGAGCACACTGATGATGTTTTAACTTTTACTTGAATTAGAATGATGACTTTTTATTAATCATCCTCCACAGGCATCCCACTCAGTATGTCTTTAAAATCAAGCTTTACTTTGAGCTGCTGGAAAAGTTCAGACATATACTGTAAAATATTCCAACTTTGATTCATTAATACAAATTCTTATACTTTATTTAATTTTCTAAAATATTTTACATTTTGATGTGGTCTTTCCTAAGTTTTTCCTAAAGAGAAGTAGGTGGTCAGGATATTAAACTCTTAATTTACAAAATAAAAAACAAGGTGAATTTGAATATTAAACCAAATCCATATATAGCTTTCTCTGAACTTAAACATACTACAATGAGGGATAATGGATTTTAAGTGGTAATGAGAACAATGGATTTTTTCCCAATCACTGTAAATAAATATGGAGTCCTGTGCTCATTTGGTTAAATATCACTAGTCTAGAACAAAAAGTAAAGAAGAAAATAATGCTTACTGTTCTTACTGACTGCTATGTTTGACAAAACACATAAATAACAAGGAAAAATTCAAATTCAAGACATTTTAATGTCTTAATTTAGTCTTGTTGTGGCATGCCTGGCTCTCGACAACTGCAGGTGCTTCTGGATGCCGCAGAGGTCCAGCAGCTCGCTCTCTGAAATGCCAATTGTGTCCTTGGAACTTGCAATGCAGCAGAGCATTAAATTATCATCTGCAACAGCTTTCATGCTGCTGATTTACAGCTTACAGCCATCTGCTGCAGTAGAAAATGTAGCAGGTGAACATGGCCAGGCCGATACCGGGATGATGTAGATCAGACAGTGTCATTTATAGACAGACAGACAGACTGCGTGCTTACATACTTGATCTCCCCCTCTGTGTCTGTCCTCCTGCAGAGCTTTCTTTCCGGGTGTGGATGTGCGGAGGAAGCCTGGAGATTCTTCCCTGCAGCCGCGTGGGTCACGTGTTCAGGAAACGACACCCATATGACTTCCCAGAAGGCAATGCCCTCACCTACATTAAGTGAGTGGGTTGATCTGTTAGAAACCTGACATCCTGTCTGCGGCACTGTGTTATTACACCGCAAAACAATTTAACAACTGCCAAGAAGGTTAATCTTTTAGTCAGCTTTAAAATCTTAAGTGTCACATGATTCAGCGGGAAGTGAAGTGCCTCGCCAGGCAAACTTCACACTTTTCACACATTTTGACACTAGTTGCAGTGAGAGATGAGTAAGCAAGTAACTGAATTCTGAAAAAGTTATTCTTCACCCAGACATCACGTAATATAATAACAGTGTAACTTCTCAATTCTAATAGTTGTTAGTGTCTGGGATGGTACTGACAAATTCAGCTTTCTCTGAATGAACTAAAGATTTCCAACTGTTAAGACTGGACTTTTTCTACCAGGTAGCAAAGAAACAATATGATAATTATATAACTTCATAGGCTATTTGTGCTGAAATCGTAATCTGAGCTGCATTTAAACAGTATACTGATTTTTAACTACATTTGGTCATCAGTATGCAAGGCAACCAGTCTGTCATTACCACTTTGAAATCTGTGTCAAGCCACTACTCAAGTGTTTCTTAGAGGTCCATTAGTATTCCTTTAATGTAGTTAGTAACCACAGTGAAATACAGAGCCAATAAAGTTACATTTTGGTTTTTTGACTGGTCCTCAAAAATATAGCTACAATAAAAATGGTTCAATAGAGGTTATGCTGTGTGTTTATCATCATCTCTTGAATGCAGACAAGATTTAGCATCAGTATACTGTACATGTATAAACTTAGATTGGTAATATGGCTGTAGTTTTGTATGAAAGATACTGCAGAATCCTTTAAAACAAGTCAGCTTGGTCCCAGACTGTTCCAATTTGTCATGTTACACCTATAATTTAAGGAATATGAAATTCCTGATGGAGATGTTTTTTTTGGTGTCTGAATGCTCATGTGGGTGACACTGTCATTAGAGTTACCTGCAGGAATGCCAGCAGCTCTGTCATTACTGTGTCTGAGCAGGTGTTGTGTCTGTGTCCATGCAGGAACACCCGGCGGGCTGCTGAGGTGTGGATGGACGAGTATAAACAGTACTACTACTCTGCGAGGCCATCAGCCCAGGGCAAGGCCTTTGGCAGGTATGTCCATTATACTGTCACTCTCTTCTCTCAATGTGTGGTACATATAAAGGCTTGGTTATGTTTCATACAGGTTATACCTGTATGATACCATGTCTCAGTCAGGCAATCATGCTCATAATGTCCATAATAAACAACTAGTTGCCATGGAAACTCTGGTAATAATAGAGCTAGCAAACAAGATCTGTTTATTTCTGTTTATTTTCTTGTGTGCACTATTTTAAGGACATTTGTATCAAGTGCTGCAACTAACAGTTATTTTTATTTTTGATACATTCTTTAATGATTCCTCGATTAATCAATTAATCGTTTTGTCTATAAAATAGTAAAGAATGCCTAATATAGTTACCTAGAGTGCAATATAGCATCTTTTAATTCCTTATTTTATTCAACCCTCAGTCCAAAACCCAAAGATATTCAGTTTACTATCATATACGATGAAGAAAAGCAGCAAATCCTTACATTAGAGAAGCTGGAACCAGAGAAAGATTGGCATTTTTATTTAAATAATGAATGAAATGATAAACTTATTTAGACATTTGTTGCCATTTAATTTCAAGTCAATAAACTAATCAATTATTCCACTAATAGTTTCAACTCAATTTGTATTAGAGGCCCAACACCAAATAATCACAAGAGAGCCCTCAGTGCTGTGTTTGTGGATTAAAACAGAAATCCCTCTCTGGTATTAGCAGAAAAGAGTTATTGCTGGTTCAACACTATTAATAAGATCCTCATTAGCTGAGTCGGCCGGTTCAGCTGAGTTCTCAGCATCAGCATCAGCAGGACTTTAAAACATCTTTCTCTCTTACTGTGTCTCACATTCTCCTCTCCTCTCCCCATCCTTCCTGTCTCTTCATCCTCGTGTGTTTGTTTCTTTCTGCAGCATTGCAGACCGACTGACACTGCGGCGGAAGTTGAACTGCAAACCTTTCCGCTGGTATATGGAGAACGTCTATCCTGAGCTGAGGTACGGCACTCAAACTGAGCTCATATTCAGCATGTTCATTTATGGTATCTGACAGGATTGTTGTATGGAGGCATAAAGATCTCCTCCAGACATATTTTAGGAAATACTTTGAATAATTATTTGTGTCTGATATGTTTTTTCTACCAAGTTTAACTTAAAAATTAAATCTTCTCCTTCATCTAAATGAAATGTCCACAATCTATGAATATGCAAGTATTTTTCATTTTAAAAGTGTCACTGCTGGATTTAAGATGTCTCCTACTTCGCTATAAAGTCCATTCACAGTCTTCAGTTGTGCACTGAAGGCTTCAAGTTTTACACATCACACTTGTGTTTGCTTCATATTGAACCACAGTTGATTCTTCCTAAGTAAGTAAAGTAAGTAAATTT